TGTAATCATGGTGGGTGATATTCCTCTCACTTATTCCCCTACGCAGCCTGCTCCCACTGAGCAACCTGAAGTAACAAATGATGATGATTCACAAGAGCCAAATGATACACCTGCTACCAGTATTGTTTCTTCCTTAGATTCCAATGTTCACTCGAAGCAAAGCTGGAATCTTTAAGCCAAAAGTTTTCACTATTCAACCCTTACTAGATGGTAATGAACCCATCACGGTTCATCAAGCGTTGAACTTTCCTACTTGGAAAGTTGTTGTCTTGGAGGAGTACAATGTCATGGTTCGCAACGACACATGGAAACTTGTTCTGTTACCCTCCAGCAGAACTGCCATCAGTAGTAAGTGGTTGTTTCGTATTAAGAAAAATACAGATGGGTCGATTACTAAGCATAAAGCTTGGTTGGTGGCTTTGCCCAAGTTCTCGGCCAAGACTTTCATGAAACCTTCAGTCCGGTTGTTAAGTTATCTACTGTCAAAGTGGTTTTGTCTCTTGCAATCATGCATGGATGGAAACTATGTCAAGTCGACATCAATAATGATTTTCTTAATAGAGAACTTAGTGAGGAGGTCTTCATGGTTCAACCTCCGGGATTTGAACAACATTTTTTCGACGGTGCCCAATTGGTGTGCAAACTTGATAAAGCGTTATATGGTCTTAAACAAGCACCTCGCAGTTGGTATGCTAAATTACACTCATTTCTTATTCACATTGGATTTCGAGGGACACAAGTTGATACTTCATTATTCATTCAATGCAACGGTGATTTCTTGGTTTTGTCCTTGTATATGCGGATGATATTATTGTCACGGGGCATAATATTGATGATGTGGAACAAGTCATCTCCTTGTTGGGTCGCGAATTGGCTCTAAAAGACAAGGGAGAGTTAAACTTTTTCTTGGGTTTGGAAGTCTCTCATGATGCTAATGCTATTATTTTGCAAAATTGCAAATTTATCCTTGAATTGCTTGATAGGAAGGGCATGCTAGGTGCACATCTTGTTCCTACTCCAATGGTTGTGGATCCGAAGCTTTGCAAGGATGAAGGAAGTCTGTTTTTAAATCCTCAGTTGTATAGGAGTATTGTTGGAGCTCTTTTGTACTTGAATCATACTCTTCCTGATATTGCTTTTAGTGTCAATTAAGCCGCTCAATATATGCATGACCCACGAGAGCATCATTGGGTCACTGTGAAACGTATCTTGCGGTACTTGAGTGGTACACTTGACTTTGGCTTGGTCTTTCGAAAGTCAGCATTGGGATTAAACTTGGAAGCCTTTTGTCATCTTGATTGGGCAAGTAATATTGATGATCAACGTTCAATTTCAAGATTTTGTGTTTTTCTTGGTGGTAATCTTGTTTCATGGGGATCTAAACGCCAACGTTCGGTGTCTCACTCGACCACAGAGGTCAAATATCGTGGCATTGCTAATGTTGTTGTTGATATTACTTGGATTTAGACGTTATTAGAAGACATGGGTATGTCGTGCACCAAAAGTCCCATTGTATGGAGTGATAACACAAGCACAATTGCAATGAGTGTCAATCCGGTGTTTCACTCTCGTTCAAAACATGTTGAATTAGATCTTCATTTTGTTCAAGAAAAGGTTGGAGCTGGTACGGTTTGCATCAACTATGTTCCTGCTTATCATCAACAGGTGGATGGTCTTACCAAACCCCTTTCACGTGCTTATTTTTCCTCATTTCGCCACAAGATGAAGGTCTCAGATGGAGCTCTTGAAGTCCTGGAAAGTAGGGTGAATGTTTAGCACTAATATTAGAATATAGAGAGTTTGTTAAGCATTAATATTAACAGAATATAGAGAGTTACTATAACATTGATTTAGAAGGATGTTTATATTGTCTTATATATACGTGGTTTACAAATGGGACAGAAGAGTGTGGCATTATGTATATTTAAAAAAAACAAGTGTTATTTTCTCAACAAGATTTTACGGCACAAATATAATGTGATTGAAACTTTCCCCACTCAATTTATCATGCGACTTGTTCACCTCTGTGTCGTGGTCTCTCGAATGTGTGGAATTCATTTTGCCATGCCTTATCTGGTCTGTTGGAGACGGTACGAAGATCAGATTCTTGGATGATGTTTGGATCCCCTCCATAGTTGCTTTGCGTCCTCACACAATTAATTCTGGAATTATTGATGATAAGATCCAAGTAGCTTCCTTAACTCATCCGAATGGTTCTTGGAATGAAGAGGTCCTTTCCACATTGGTCACTCCATTTGCACTTAACCATATTCTAAGCATTAAAGCTCCGGATAACGATGACATTGATGATATTCTTGCTTGGCGCTGGTCAAACAACCATAATTTTAATCTCAAAAGTCAAAACTTCATATTCCACTATATGCGACGGGAAATGGATAGAGGTAAATATTGTTTGGAATTTCATCTATTCTCTTGCCATCACTCAACGTTTGAGGCTTTTCCTTTGGTTATGTCTTCATCGGAAGGTAATGACAAATTGTGAACATGTTGGGCACTATCTCTTAAAGGATGCCTCTTACCCATCGTGTCGTGTGGTGCAGCGCAAGAAACCATCATTCATGTGATTGTCCTAGTGTGCGCACTGCGTGGCAAAACACCTTGCCTTCATCGATGCTTCCCAACTTCTTTCAAAATGGCTTCGACTTTTGGGCTCCAACCAACCTAAAGAATACCTCTCTGATGCAAGGTTTTAATTCATCGTGGTCTACGGTCGTCGCCTCTCTTATTTGGAAAGTCTAGAAACATCGTAATGACATGCTCTTCAAAGAAGTGTCTCGGTCTTTAGACATTGTGCTTCAATGTGCTCACAGTTGGCTGAGATATATGTGTGCTCACCCTCAAAAAATTTTCTGGATATGTCACTTTTAGTTGTGATTGTATATCTCTATTATACTGAAATACTAATTCTAATTTGATATAATCCTATTCCCTATTTTCTATAATATTACTAATAGATTTAAATTAATTTATTAGTTTTAAACAAGTTTATAATATTATTAATATGTCTAAATTAATAGCATAATTAATTATTATCGGTCTTAAAATAATGATTGCATCATTTAGTATGTTACATATTTATTTACTAGCATTAGGAGGTAAATCAGTGGATTTGACCTTAAAGAGAGCCGAAGGGGTCAAAAGCAACAAGAAATTAAGAAGCGTTAATGAGAAATTGTAAAGTGTTATACATAAGTTAGTATGTTATATATATAACATTGGTTTCATTTGACGATTATTAAATAATCATTGTTTAGCAATGGATGTCGTACGTGCCTAAAAAACATCAGAGTTCCTGATGATGAAGTAATCTTTGAAGATGTCAACATACAATTCATGGTAAAAATACCCAGATGATGCATTGAAAAAAAAAGTTCTTATGCATTGCAGAAGTTTATGGTGTTCGGGAAAGATAATAGGACGAGATAACATCTTCTCGAAAGATAATACGTCTTTTCATCTCCGGCCATAATCTAGCAAGAGCGTTAACATAGGATTATCAAGAGTTAACTTGAGAACATGTCATCCTTGTTGTGTAGAAGACGTTATATAGTCTAGTCGTATCTACTGAAGACATCATGTAATTCCGGCATCTTTTCCGACGCATTGTAAACACTACTCTGAAAAATAAAATTTAATGATCATTATTTTGATGAATTTTTTTCTACTTCTTTGTCCAGTTGATGTTACCTCCAATTCATAGAAGGTGACATAACGATAGAGGTGATTAAGGAATTCTCTTTCATTAATTTCTCTTATTAGGTTTAATACTCATCGAAAAGAATGCAGAAAACATAGTTAAAGTAAAACTACTTGGGTGAAGAATTACCTACCAGACTCTTTGAATTCATATCTACAATTTCTGAAACCCTCACATTCATTGTACCTAATGAACATTGAGAGCGGTTATTATTTTTGTTAGAGCTTGATCTGAATACGAATAGACTCAAATTGACGAAAATATAAAATTAAGAGAAAATAGAGAATTTAATTGATTAAAAGTAAGAACACTATTATATTTTATGTTAGATTAAAATAAGAAACATAGTTTGAGTATACTTCTTGTTACGCAAGTTTCCTTTGTAATCAAATAATTATAAACTTGCAATCAAGTAATTATCAATATAAATAGATACAATGAATTAATATTAGAGATAAGTTGATTTATGAAAATCATCTTGTATTCTTCAATTTTCGGGAATGAATTAGTGTTACATATCCAGTTGATTTATGGAAATCATCTTGTATTCTTCTATTTTCGATATTAGTAAAAAAAATTGTGTTTTTGGTTTTTCTAAAAGAATTTTCTCGAAAGAGGTTGATGTAGACTAAGGAAAGGAAGAGATAAAATTGTGAAGAAAGGTGGTGAATTCGAAATCTAAAGGTGATTTTTAGTGGCAAAACACAAAAGGGACTAGTGGGGGCCAAGGCCCCTCTAAAATTTTTAAAAATCTTAATTTAAACTCTTAAAATTTTTAAAAATCTTAATTTGGTCGTTTCAATTTTTTTAGAATTTTAGATTAAACTTCAAAATTTTTGAATGTTTATAATTAAACCCCCTCCCATAATTTAAAAAAATTATCATTAAACCTCTCAAAATTTCAAAAATTTTACTTAAGACTCTAATTTTTTAGGGAAAACGTAAACTTAACCCTTCAAAAAATTTAATTTAAACCTCTGAATTTTTAAAAGTTTTAAGTTGCCCCAAGTTCTATCACCAAGTTCCGCAAACTCTATTACCAAATTCCGCAGTCACCAGTGATTTTCCAGTGAATAAGGAACAAGTTGAGACAGAGAAGCAAAAGAATCCTGTTAAGGCACAAGAGAAGGAAAATGCTGATGAAAGATCAAGTGGTAGCGAAGAAGATTCATGGTCGATACCAGCACTGAAAGTAGCTTCTGAAGAGCAAGGTGATCATAAAAAGCCTGATAATGGCAATGGTAAATATGCTTTTAGTGTTGATGCACTTACTAATACCATATGCAGCTAAAAGAGGATTAATATAAATAACTTGATACAAAATCCCGTTGGTAGAGCTATTTCACACTAAAGCTTAAAGCTCAACTACCTATAAAGCCCTACCATGATATTCAACAACTGTTGTGATAATGGGTAGAACCTAAAGTTGCCGAGGGAAGAAAAAAGAAAGAGTGAAACTGGAGGTAAAACAAACATTACGGCACTTGAGCCGCATTTGTACAGTATGTAAATGCTCTTTCAAAGCAAAAGGAGCGCGTCGAACAATGTCTTGGGCTGAAATTATACCAAATTCCTTTCGACATTGATGCCTGGTTCAGAGGTGGACTCTGCTACTTGAGTTTCAACAGGAGAAGGTAATGCAAGCATTCTTCCTTTCTGGGCACGCGGCGGAAGGTGCTTGCTGTGTTTCTTTGATCCTCCCATTGTCCAGGGCAAGAAGACCCCAGTGCCACCACGAGGAAGTTTTCTGGGGCTCATCACCACCGGACGCACAGGTGCCAGCATGACAACTGGAGTACGGAGGACTCCCCATTTTGGGATCGTATCCAGTGCCTCATAGCCATTAAGAGCTCCATTTGACACTGCATATGGACCGGGGACAGCTGGTTGCCATAGAGTCATGGCACCAGACTGGGGGGTAGTTGGTGGTGACTGACCTTGGTTGGTATCAGGCCGGACTCGGAAGAATGTAATGCTGACCCTCTTGTTTGGAGATGGGCACATCACATGTCTTGCCATGTCGGAACTATTTCCCCTCATAACTAAAAGAGACCTGCAGAAAATCAGTAAAAAACAGTATACATTTAGAGATGCAATTCCATTTTCTTTTAAAACAAATTTCCTGCTAAGTTTACAGCATTTACATCACAAATTCCGGCACAACTTGAAGGAGGAAGCAAAAACAAAGTCGGATGGTCGAAAAGTGGAGAAACAAGTGCAAGTGCAAGTGCAGATATCCTAAGAAGTTAAATATGGTTATTATAGATTTTATCGCAACCAAAATGCCATTTCAGTTCCGGAGAATAACATATATAAATGAGTAGCTGCAGCTGTTTAATGTTAGTTTTTCGAAGTACGATGAAAGCCACGATAAACAAACTAAACACAATGCGCCCATCACCCAAAGCATCCCTCTCATGCTATAACATACCCTTCTTTCAATGAAAGTTGGAGTGGCCCTCTATAGTTCCCTTCACTATCACTCATGAGTGTTCGCCCGAAAGCCATTGTTGATTCAGATAGGAGAAGTGTGGTGATAGGTTGCTCCAAATGTGGTGGTTTAAGAAAAGGTTGTGAATATTCACCCTGCATTAAAGAAACACACTACATCACTTCCATCCTATATGCAATATTGTACTCGAACAAATAACCTGGAAAGATGGGAACGGCAGTGCAGCAAAAAAGTATTACCTCATCGAAGAAGTTAATGATGCAGCCATTTGGTTTCTTATATTCGGGTATAAGTTGCCATTGGATCAAGTGCTCTATTACACTTTGGAGCAAAGGTGGAATCGATTCTATATTAACTGTATTTATAAGGGATCAAGAACAAATTAAGAAACTAGAGAAACCTAACATAAACATTTGATTTGTAGTGTTGAGTCTTACTCGTTTGATTGTTACTTGTAGGCTCGTCTTTAACGTGTCCAAAAATCGGAACACCAAACTGAATCAGCTCTCGCTTGTTTCCCTTAATTTGTTTGTTGAATAAAATAAAAGTCTCACCTTAACCATCCAAAAAAGTAAAAGAATCAGCAAGAAGTCCATTAAACAAAGGCTTGGCAAATTTTTTTGCAGAAGTGGGATTAAAAGAACTCATATAAAACATCAAACAAGAAAAAGAAAAGGCAACCAACCAATGCATTTGTATCTAAGAAAGTAAAAGAACTTTGTAAAATCTATATATAAACGCGTATTGTGATACCTACGGTCAATTCATGTGCTCGTAACAAACCTTCTCCTTCAAAAATTGAACTCCCAACTTATCAGCCTATACAGCCAACTAAACTGTCCTCCTTAGGTTCTTAACATAAAGTTGTCTTGGAAGTGAGTATATATCCCTAACTATTTCCCAGTATAAGTTGTGATAATCATTAAATTGATCAAGAAGAAACATGAATCGACTATACCTACCTATTCAAACAAAGCTACAACAGAAGGTATAACTATTTCAAATCTCCATCTTAATTTTCTAAAACAGGCTCAATTTCGGCTTTAAAGTGGGATGGCACCTGACAATTCCCCATTCTGGCCAGCAGATCGAAGTTCACTTGTGAAATCACTAAGCTTGGCCAGCTGCGAATCAGTGAATACATCCTCATACAACTTCAATCCTTTCACAACATTCACCTGCATTACCGTTATCAGTAAATAAGGATGCAATGTCGTTAAGACATCCAGTAAGCAGAATTCAGAACTAAAAACCACCACAACCCATCTTTCCGACCCCTGTCCGTTTGGTGCCACGAAAAGAGGAAGTAAAAGAAAGAAAGAACTCACCATGTGGCCCTTAACATGTTCCTTGGCAGAAAAACCTTTCGTCAACTTGATTTGAGAAGGTCGTGCCTCACATTCTTCATGGTTAGAACAAATATAGATGTTTCCGTCAACATGTTGAACTTCCTGAGATCCTGCATTCCGGAAAACAAAAGTTTTAAGCTGGGACTTAGTTGTTATCTTTTTAATTAAATTAATTACTTAATTAGTACACCAATTTCAAAGCTCAGCAAAAGTTGTCCAAGGTAAAGCTATGTACAATACAAGGACAATAAACTACAGCTTGTCCTACTGTCGGATGACCACAACCGGCTTTCCAAACACTACAAATTAATTTTTTTTCCTTGTCGTAGAATTCAATTCAATCTTCATTGGATCGCTCGCTCAAAAGAGAAACCGGGCTTGACCGGGGAAGGTAACCTCAGTTAAACGAGTCAACTCGGCACGACTCAGAAAGCACACGTGAGATCATCAAACGGCAGCCGTGAAGCCAAGCAATTAGATCAGACGGTTGTGATCAGACTGTAAAACTACAACAACAAACTCTATTTTCATATGCAATAAGATAAAGGAGAGGTAAGGTCTCCCAAGCCGAGAGCAGCTTCCGTGAATACCTCCCTTTAAGACTTGAAATTCTCAAAACTCCTCGCTTAAACCTCGGGAACATGCCTACAGTACTATTACACGACTGAAAAAACCCTTTTTAAAATCAATAAATAAATAAAAGAACACCTTTTTACAGAGAAAAAATGGAAATTTTAATCTCGTGAAAAAGTACCGTCTTTTTTTTTTTACCAGGAAAGCGTGAGTTTGAAGAATCATGTAGAAAAAGAGGGGGGGGGAATTTAATGAAAACCCAGCATCATCATCTAACCCCCCACGTTGAATTCAAAGTCATAGAAAAGTTTGAAAAGGAGTTGGACACGTTTGAGAACTGATCACCCGGAGAAATACATGGTTTTGTTTGGTCTAAAGGAAAATGAAGGAAAATTATTCAATCTTTTATATACAAAAAGGAAAATAAATAAAAGGGTATAGATTTTAATGCGTTTGCTTTGTTTCAAGGTAAGCTTTCACTTTCTCGCTTGACCAAAACACAGGGAAATTATGAGATTCTATGCTTCACGCCTCTCTGCGTTTCACCCTGTCATCTGAACAAACAAAAAGACGAAATTTTTCTTTTGTTTTTTATTATTGATTGACCAAGAAACATAGAAAATTTGATGAATTCAAGTAATGAAACAGAAAAAGTTTGAATACACCAACTGATCGATGGCATTAATGGGCAAAAAACAGAGTCAAGTTCAGAGGTTTGTTTTAGCAGTTAAGACGTTCGTAGGAATCCCAGTAACTGGGCTGATTTTCGTCAAAATTTCACAAGGAAACACCAATAGAAAACGAGAATTTTTTTTCCAAACAGAGGAACAAATCGTAACTGCTTTACATTTGCATATCTGTAAAAGAGAATTAAATTTTATAATCGAATATCACTTTTCTTTTAATTATGAAATTACCTGAATCAGTAATGTCACTGTCAGGGGAATCTTCTTCTTCCTCGCCACTAACTTCATCGTTCGCTTCGTTTTCCTCCTCTTTCTCGGCGATTTTCTCTTTCTCATCATCCAAACAACCTCCGTCCCCTCCGCCGCAACTACCTTTAACTTCTTCCTTGACAGTTTCCTCTCCTCCTCCGGTCTTCTTGGCAGCCACCTTTTTCAGCTCCACCATCACATCGGCAATGGAGTGATACTTCTGCATCTGCAACACCGGGATCCAATTCAGCCTCCTCCTGTGGATCGCCGCGAACACCGCTTCATACTCAGATCCTCCGCCCCCACCTCCTTGGAGCTGCACCAAATGACCGCAAAGAGCATCGATGATGGCATTGGCGGCCGCGAATTCCCCTCGAAACCAAGAAATGATCGTGTCCTTGGCTAAAACATCAGAAACCGCCGGCACAGCTTGCATGACGGGTACCACCGCTGGCCCCATAGCTTGAGCCCGTTCCGTCGGCGATGCTGCCCCCACCGCCATTGGCATCTCTGTATAAATTTACCCTTAAAACTATTCACTAATTTGACCAGAAATCAACAACCCAGAAAATCCCAACTATTGGGTAATCGGAGAATTACCTGTCGGCCGATATTTCAACTGATTTCGTTGAGAGAAAAGTGAAAGAAAAGGTTGAAGCAAATGCTGGAGAGATGGCCTTCGTATTCTTTTTGTATTCTTTTGGTGTTTTAAGGCCAAAGGGGGAGTAGAGATTATATATTTGAGAGCTTTGGATGAGTAGCATTGTCCGTACCGGTGGGGTCCACGGGAACATGCTGACATGGCGTTCTCTGATGGTGTCGTGGAATCACGATGTTAAATTAACAGAGTATTTAATTGAGTCGAGTTAAATAATTTTGAATTAGTTTAGTTGATGAATCGTATTTTATAATTTAAACTTTATTTGAATTTTTTTTAAATCAAGTTAATTTGAGTTGTTTAATTTTACATTTCAATTTAATTGTAAATATTTATAATCTTATAATAGTATTTGGTTTTATTTTAAGCAATTTTCTATAAATATATATTATATACATATATATTTCTTCATAATTTTCTTATATGATATACACATATCGTGTATAATTAGGAGACTCAACTCAAACTTAAAAATCAATCTACTAATTATTAAAAATTAAAATTAAAGAAATTATATTTTATAACTCGACTTGAATTTAAAATTTTATAAAATTACAAATTGAATAAAATAAAATTATTTTTTCACATCAAATCAAATAAAAATTTAATTTTTTCTATGATAGCCTTGAGAGTTTGACCATGTTTTTTTAGTTTAATTATTATTATTTATAAAATCATCAATAATTCAATTATTTTATATATATTTTCTTGTGGCTAACCCTACCACTTGAAACAAAAACAAAGCCAAAAATGAAGTGCCCTGGCACATGGCCATCGAACATTTCGCATGATTTCACAACCGAACAAATTGTATAAATATGTTGTTTTCATTTACCTTAATTTATTTTAAATTTATATATTTTTAAAATAATAATTTAAATTAATTTTATTATTATAGATTTAGATTGATTCGAATCGGGTATCAATTAATAGTGTTGGATTTGGAATTAATTTGAATAAATGGTAAGAGATTTGGTGAACATGGCGTGTGGTTCAAGTCAAATTTAAGGAATAATCATGTGGACCAAAAATGCATTTAATTTTAACTATTCTTTCTTTCCTTCTTTTCTCACACAGGATTTGGAAAATAACGACCATGCATTATTAATTCATATCTATCATGTAATTAAATAATAACGGCTTCTTTTAGTTACTACGAAGAAATAAAAAAAAAAAATTATAACACTCTATTAGTATTGTTGAGTATTATTAACGATAATCATCATTAATTTAATTTATAAAAAATTAAAATTCTAAAAGACTCAACTCATAATTATAAATTAGTTAAAAATATAAAGATAAATTATTTAATTATATCATTTTTAAAATCTTTTTTGGGTAAATTATACCACTAATTTATCTTTAGATTTTTAATTAATTTATAATCATATGTTGAGTATTTTAGAATTTTAAATTTTTATAAATTAAATTAATGGTGGTTAGCGGTACTCGTCGAGCGTGGTAGACTCATCATAAAAAATATAACTGAATCAATTGAGTCTCAATAATTAAAATAAATATTTTTTAAGTTTCGAGTTCAAACAATTATGTATGTATTACTGTATATGTTATCAATAATTAAAAAGATTATGAATAAATATAACCTTATAATTATCTCAAATTGTTAAAAAATATATATTTGGACGAAAAAAACACAATTGAATTTAGAATTTTCTAGCAAACCTCACAAAACTCAAATTTGATTTCTCCTGTGATTGTTTACCATATATATTTGAAACATTTATTAATTCGATGCATGGCCCTCTTAATTCAAATATCTAATGTTTTGATTTTTTTCTTTTTTTTATATCCAGCCCTGAAATTTTAAATTCGTATAATATTTTATAATGATTAATAAAAAAATAAGTGTTTAAATTATATTATTTTTTTATTTTAGATGTTTAAAGTATTTTTTGTTTAAAATAAATGTTTAACATTTTATTATTTTAAGGTTATGTTTTAAATGCATGCTTTGTCACGACTGTCGAAACGATTTTTAAACGGGTGGGGGAGCGAGATTTTAGAAACCACATCATTTTAATTAGGATTGATTTTTTAATTAAAAACAGTGCGATTTTAGAAAACCTCTCGTTTCGAAAAATTGGAAATTCCTTTACGATAAAAATATAAGGTTCGAGGAGTCGCCACCAATCTTTGATTAGGGTGTGATTGGGCACCCAAAAACATTGTCGTTTTAAATAAAAATTAATTTTAATTAAAACGGCAAATTTACGGTCTACGTTACCAAAATCCAAGTTCGGGAGTCGGTTACGCGTGGGGAAGGATTAGCACCCCCACAACGCCTTAAATCGGTACCTAGTTGATTAATTAATTTCTTTGCAACGAATTTCGCAAGTTCAAATTTAATTTGATTAATGATCCCTTTAAACAACAAAAATGCAAATTTGCAACATTCAAAGCAACAAAATAGATTTAATTTAAAATTACTAAGTCATTAGAAAAATAAAGAATATTCGATTATTTAAAAATACCGAGACCAGATCTTTAGTTCAGTTCTAACGACCTTTTCTCGAAAAGTTTAAATAGTCGAATATTTCCTTTTCTTTCGCTCCCAAATTTTACTATGATATATCCAAATTTAATTAGGCGTTACTGACGGGATACAATTTTAATTTAAAATTGTCAAAACAACTCTCTAGTAAGTTAAGAGAAGCCATTCCGACAGTTTTTAAATTAAAAATATATTACCCTTAATCCAATTATGTAACAAGAGTCGAGTCATGCACGTGAGGCTATCATGCGAATCATACAAAGTGATGTTAATGTAAAGATTAATTAAACATGCGATTAAAGTAAATGAGGCTAATCATGCTTTAAAAAGAAATACACCTAACTACGTATGGACAACATGCTCGAAATAATATACACATGCAACATACAAATAAACTACGCTTAACTCTATGCGTATGGACAAAAATGCTCGAAATAATATACGCATGCATATATTTAAAATAAATCTAAATTAGCCTATCATGCATAAAAAATTAAAAGGACTAAAACAAAAAAAATAAATAACAAGTTTTTTCATAACGTTTTCATTTTTGGGTACTGCAAACATAATACAACCAAAATACTGCAAATGACCAAATTGAAAGTTTCTCAAATTACACATCCAATGCCTAAACAACATTAAAATGGCCCTAACATGGTTCTGGACTAAGATGTAACACACTGAAAATTAAGATACAAACTTAGAATTGTAACAAAGCTCGGTTCAGGGATTGAAATGGGACAAAACAAAATTGGGATGGCCACACACACAATTACCCCCCCAGCAAAACACAGTAGACTCCAGCTTCGTGAAACGCAACCGTTTCAAACCATCAGGGAACGACGCCGTTTTGACATATGGGATAATAGGGTAAGTCTTATACCTAATTTCATTTTCTCTTCTCATCCTAAACCAAACAGAAGAGCCCCAGCCGTTTTCTCTCATCTCTCCTTCTTCAACCTTCAAACCCCAGACGAAGCATGGCCAACGCCGTGGCCACCGCCGTCTAATGGCTCCGATGAGGAGCCGAGACGTCCTCTAAACTTCCTCCGGCGACAACCCCTTCAAATACCAACCTAAACCAGCGATCTAAGCCCAAACTAAACTTGAAAACCCGACCGGCTTCACCCTCTAGTAACCTCACAACACTACGGCCACCGTGACCTTTCCCCTCTCTGGAGGACTCCGATGAGAAGTCAAACCCTCGACAACCCTAAACCCCTAGTTCAAGCCTCCTTGGTGAAAACCAGGCCCCCCAAAACCTAGATTCTAGCCGAGTTATGAACCCTAACAAACTAAACCCACAGCCATACCACACGACCACCGTGGGTTCCCCCTTTCTCACTCGTCTGTTTACTCAAAACCCAGGCCTCCACCACTTAAACACTCCGACGAGAACCCCCATATCCTGACTCAGAAACCCCAACTAGATCTAGCCTTTTAGAAACCTACGACCCACGAATAAACACGAAAACAAAACCCTACATACCCACCACTCGAAACAGGAACCAAGAGTCACGCGAATCTTACCCTTGATGACCCAACGTGGCTCGGGCTTGGGCGATGGTGACGTTCTGCTCTTCGACTAAGGAAGGTGAAGGGTTTTTTTTGTTTGCTTCGTTTTTTGTTGACTGATATGCTAATGGGTTTTTGGACTCTGGTTATGGATTTCTTCTGTTTCGTGGTCCTTTTGATGGTTGGTTCTCTGCTTCGTGATGACTGGTTCCCTCGATGATCACTGATTTGGTGATTGTGTTTTTTTTTTGGTTTTGTGCTTTTTTCCTTCGATGATAGCTGATGGGTTGAGCGTTTTTTTTTTGCTTGGATGATGACTGATAACTCCCAGAACCAAAAAAATCCCCTTCTGGTTTCGTTTTCACTGCTATTTCTAGTTGATTTTCTTTCTGTTTTTTTGTGCCTTCTGTTCTGCTTCTTGTTTCGTGTGTTTACAGGGCACAGGCGAGAGCAGATCACGGGCGGCAGCTGTGGGTAGCTGAGCCATTGCTCGGTTGGTCGTGCGCGATCTGGAAATGCGGTGGTGGCTTCACGTGAGTCTGCAGTCGGCTCGGGAATCACAGAGGGCTGGGAACCGTTGGATCGTGGAGTCAGATCCAACGGCCTTCCTGCTGCGGCGCTAGAGGCTGGTGACAAGGAAACCCTAATGGGTTAGGGTTTCTTCAGTTGGGCTGAAGAACTGGGTTGTTGGGAACTGGGCTCGTTTGGTCCAGCCTGTTGTAATCTTAGTTTAATTAGAATTTGTAAAAGACCAAAATAAAACATTAATCAGTATTTAGTTACTTACTTATTTATATATATAAATACTATAATATTTATAAGTACCCAATGTATATACTCGTATGCATCACTAATATAGAACACGTAACCACTATGAAATCCAACATATCATTAATGATAACCCTAACTAACGTGTCCTACGAACTTAGTAATAACCAGAAATTAATCATAAGGATACACATAAGACGTCCCGGACAAAATGAGCATCTACAGCTGCCCCTCTTTGTTCAATATC